TCCGACACTCTCGAAGAACACGGCCGCCGACTAAGCAAGTTTTTCGAACGTCTTAGGAAACATAATCTCACCTTGCAAACGGACAAAGCCCATTTTCTAAAACACGAAGTCGCGTATTTAGGTCATATTATTTCGGCAGAAGGTGTAAGACCGAATCCCGATAAAATACGCGCGGTTTCAGAATTCCCGGTACCAAAAACCAGGAAGTCCGTAAAACAATTCCTAGGATTAATAAATTACTACCGTCGTTTCATTCCAAATTTATCAAAGAGAGCGAAACCGTTGACTAATTTAACGAGCACTAAGATTCCATTCGTATGGACGGACGAACATCAGAAAAGTTTCGAAGATCTCAGACAAGCTCTTTGCAAAGAACCTGTCTTGAGGTACCCAAATTTCGATAATCCGTTCATTATAACTTCGGATGCATCAGATGTAGCGATCGGAGCTATTTTAAGCCAAGGCAAAATAGGAGAAGATCCCCCGATTACTTACGCAACTCAAGTGCTCACGCGATGTCAACAAAATTATTCCACTACGGAAAAGGAATGCCTCGCTATAGTTAGCGCAGTGAAGCAATTTAGAACCTACATTTACGGTCGAAAATTCACCCTCGTGACGGACCATCGTCCACTACAATTGTTATTCTGAATTAAGGATCCTACATCGCGCCTCGCACGTTGGAGAATCTTACTCGCTGATTACGACTATGAGATTGTATACAAGCCCGGACGCGTAAACGCGAATGCAGACGCACAAAACACCTCTCAAACGTCAGGAATAGCACAACGAGTACAAAATCGACATCAGAATCTCCCCAGACCGAACTACGAGGAACCACCATCCCTGATCCTAGAAGTAACCGAAGATTCGATACACCCCGACGACATGGACGTTCTTCTTCCTCACGATTATCTGGACGACGCACCCGAAGCAAATTCTACTGGTATAGAAACACCACTCTTAGGCGAACAAGAATTCAACGCTACGGAAGACGACAGCCGACCAGGAAGTGTTCAGCAGAACCGAGAGGGTACCAACAATCTTCCACCACGTCTCACCACAGAAGAAATCACGTTTCTTCGTAGCCTGGATCAGGCAGAACTACCAAATAGCGAAGACTCGACCCGTAACGCGAAAACCCAACCTTCAATTGCGAAAAAACGTGTCTCATGGTTTTTACCACCTCCAACGGACTTATTAGGGGTACCACTGTCAACCATGGCCTTCACCGGACCGGACGAATCCGGAATAATAAGAAGAAATACATCGAATGAACAAAGTACTACCGCTCATTCCGTTAAAGAAAATAGAGAAGTAAAATTCGACACATTTACAGATTCATATCAACCTTCGTATCTACCGCAACCCCAGAATCAAAATGCTTCTTCGAAATTAAATCCGAAACGATGTGAAGTATTGGTTTCTAAAACAACCTTAATGACCGAACCTGATAATTACGCGCATTTAATTTTCGCCGATCGAATACTAACAAACGGAAACTGTAAAACCCTAAAGGCTCTCGGACTCCTAGAAGAGACCATATTAATCACCGAAGACCTAAACCTAGGGCGCGTAGTTGTAACCCTCAACAACGAAGAGAAGGATTTTAGTATTGTGGGAACCAGAAATTTCTTCCACGAAATGGGAATTTCGGAACTGTCGCATTCACTTTCTGCCCTTAAAGAATCAACGAAAATTGAGAAGATAACTTCAATTCATATAGCTACACATGGTGAAATTCTCCATCACTTCGATCACAACATTCTCCAGAAACTTTTAACCGAAATCTTTTGGGAACAGCCCATAAAAATCTCGATATGTACCGGTGAAATCCAGAAACCCCCACAAGTTGAATGAGAAGGCATTATTCGACATTATCACGAAAGCATGATAGGAGGACACAAAGGAGTCATGAAGACCTACCGGCGGATTCGAAGTTTATTCGATTGGCCAAGAATGCGACGAGACGTAGATTTCATACGACACTGTACCAGTTGCCAGAAACAGAAACTTGTACACATTAAAACTCGAGAACCGATGCTTATTACCGATACCCCTGCGAAACCCTTTGATAAAATTGCATTGAACACGGTAGAGCCTCTTCCAGTAACACCTAGTGGAAATCGTCATGTATTAACAATTCAATGCCAGCTTTCAAAATTCTGCATGACTATTTCGTTGCCCGACATACGAACGCTCACGGTTGCTGACGCTATCTCGCGTTATTTTATTACCGTCTTCGGAGCGCCGCGAGTGATACTCACTGACCGCGGTAAAACATTCATTAATAATATAATGCAAGGAATCGCAAAGGCTTTTCGTATTAATCACGTAATCACCTCGGGTTATCGTCCACAAAGAAATGGTTCTCTTGAAAGAAGTCATATCGTTCTAATAGAATATTTAAAACATTATTTAGAGAAATACGAGGACTGGGATCTTTATATACCCTCCGCTACATATTCGTATAATACATCGGTACACGAGGCAACAAACTTTACTCCGTACGAGGTAGTTTTCGGTCAATTAGCTAGGGACCCCTTCACCCCGATGTCTCCCGAAGAGCTCCTAACATATCCCACATACGTTC